TTCCGCTCAATTCAAATAACTACAGTTTAACTAGCGTTTGTAATCACTTTCAACAAAACTCAGAGTCAATCTTTGGAATTGTGTGATCTACTTTTAAATACGGATTGCTTCGCACATGTACAATTGTAATTGCAAAGCAGATAACCTTTTTATTTGCATTGCCGATGTCGTAAAACCAAAAATGTTATATATCCACAATCATTGGGTAACTAAAATATTGATGAAAAGATATTCGATGTTAAATTTTTCATACATTCAATGAGTATGTGCTACTCTATTGTCCGCGTGAAGTATATGCATATTTCAAGCGTACTCGCTGGCAGAACACTGCTACATTGAAACACAAATACATTTCCCGAAAATCATCCACTTCATTTCACTTTCTTCTCGTTGGCGCCATCTTCATCAATTAATATTCGTACAAAGTTCTCTTCTTTCAAGCTTTTACATCCTCATGCCTTACTCGGCCTGTGTTTGTCCAAAGGCCATGAAATTGAATTATTCGTTAGTCCACTTCACTTTACTGTCTTCACTTTGCCATTGGAATTCTCTCGAACGCATGGGGAATGAGAGTGAACTAATAAATTGAGCTTTTAGCCTTAGAAATATTTTTCGGTCTGTGTTCGTTAGTAGATCGATTGCTTCCATTAAGATGTTGAGAGTGGCGATATTTCCGAAAAATTTCGCAAAAGAAAAAATGCCGTCACCGTCATGCTTTTTAAAATGAAATTAATAGCATTTATTTATTTGTAATAGTACCAGGATCTCAAAAAATTATTAAAACAAAAAGATGTATTTCCGCCTCAACTTTTGTAACTCCACAGTTGTTAGATAAACTTTTACAGCATACGGTTAAGGAATATAAGCTCTCATATTAAGCTAGAGCTTAAAAGCTTTTTCTTCTACAACTTTCCTTGAAGCTTCACTCTTTGAAACATATTTTTCTTTATTTTTGTAGTGGCTCCCTGCTTTCCTTCATTTGCGCTTCGTTTTTTCGTCTCCTGGGTTCATATTATATTTATAATTTATCGACTATCAATTTTGTTTTAGTATTTTTGGTTACATAAATGTGAATTTCAAACAAAATATGAATGGAACTGGTAAATCTTTAAATAAGTTTTCTTTAAAAGTAATTATGAACAGTTTTCTGTAGAACTTTATTATTTTCAACTAGTACAAGACTAGTATATTTCTGACTAAAATCTGCCAATTGCCAATTCATAATCTTCCTCCTCCAATTTGTGATTATACGTCTCGATGTTTTTCCAAGAAATTGGTACCTCCATTAGTTTATAATAAGCCGCCTTCGAACAGCTGATGGTTTCTATGAGGAGCCTTATTTCATGTCAGAAATATAATACATTCCAAGGGGTTGACATTCCCTGGCGTGGAACGACCATAATTAGAAAGTTTTGCTTAATTTTTTAATTAAGTTAATTCTCTATAACTTTTGGATGTTGGTCGCACCAAGATTTGAACCTTGTCCTCCCGATTAGCAGTACGCAATGCTAACCACTCGGCTACCACTGCCGTCGCTGATCGATTGCATGGTATAAATTGCACTGAATTATGTTCATCAGTTGAACAACAGCAATAGAAACAAGAACATAATTTTTTGCATTTCAACAGCGGCATAGGAAGGTGCGGCAGAGTTAATTCGACTGTGCGAGTGCGCCTCCACTCAAGTGGTTGTGGCATATTGGATTATTAAGTGTGTTTTTATATATTTATTTTAGCACATACTCGTGTGTGAATTCTCCGATAAGTGGACAAGTTAAAGTGGTTTTCCTCTTGGACAATATTTGTTGTTGTGAATATTGGTTGTGCTTTTTTGTCTAGTTTCATTTCTGGTGCAAAGTGAAAGTGATTTCATATGAGCTTTAAAGTTTATCAATTGTTTTTTTTTTAGTAAGCCATATCGATCATGTTGTGATAGACGAAAGACCTGTATGCATAAGCTCTGAGGACCTAACATCGGCTCGAATCGCTTTCATGTAGCATCAAGGAACGCCCGTCAGCAAGCACAATAAAGATTCAATGTTGAAAAGCTACAAGCGCAACACAGAGCTAAACAATTTATACTTGACTTGCATTCGGTTGGATTACCGGCCGAGCTATTTCTCTGCCCAGTCCACAAAAAGGGCGATCCCACAGTCAAATAAATTTGTGAAAATATGAAATGAAATTCAAAAATACAGTATTTTGACATCTGCCAAACTAAACTATGAAAATGGATTGCTTAACAACCGCTTAATACAGGATTTGCTAATAAGAGTAATATGACTTCTTAAAAAACAAATACACACTAATTATTAAGAAAATTCAAATGTTTTCTTATCTAATGTGAAGAACAATCGATACAATTAAATTCTTAATATAAAATCAGTCGATTTGTCTCCACGACTTCTTTTGCAAGAACGAAATCGATGAACCCAATTTTTTAGCACTTTTTCCACGAAATCAAGTCATATTAATACCATGTTCAACATAGACATTTAAGCTTGAAGAGAGTCTGGTTTATTGCTAAAGATCTATGCTTCCAAACCTTTATCGCATTAACTCTGTTGTAGCACGTGCTGTGTGACTCGCAACCCCGTATTGTCCGAACCAGATGTTGTTAAGAATTATTATAAGACCGTGAAAGATTGATTAACATCTATATATACCGTACTACATTGACAATAACGGTGTTACCAAAATTATTCCGAAAGAAGTACGGATCGATGATTCCACTAGACAAAAAATTTCAAAAATCTGTCCAATTTGTTTTATTGGATTTTCTTCAAACCAGAAACGACAGTTTTGTTTATTTACTCAGATGAAATTTGAGCTTCATCGGAGAAAGTGATTTTCTTAAAAAAATTGTTATTATTTCAAGTTGTTGTTTGTAAACCTTGTTATTGAAAAAAAATTACAGACCATGACATATTTAAAATGGCCAAAACGACACTTAGAAATCTTATCATCCCTATTAGAAAACCCTTTCTAAAAATGATTAATACTTACTACATACAATCAACGTTTATTTAAAAGTGGCCTCGTTTCTGGTTTTAAGGGGCACACCTAGTGTGAAATTTCAAAAAAATCGATCTTTTTTCATATTTCGTTAGACTTCACCGTTAAAAATAACATATTAAAATTTGAAATCGATATCTCAAATAGTTTTTGTGTTATAGCAATTTAAAGAGCAGCCGCTCGGCAGCTAGAGAGTCTCATTAGCTACGAGTGAAATCGATCATTTTATCTTTAAACGCGTTTTTCTCGTAACAGTGATTACTCAAAAACAAATGGTCCGATCACTATCGAATTTTTTTTTACATGTTCTATATATAGTTCTCTGTACCATGACCAATCGATTTTAGATCTGATAAAAAAATCAATTTTTGGCAGGCAAAAACGACCAAAATTTTAGGTAAAATTCGAATATTTTTTTTAAAACGCCGCCACAATGTCAATTTTTAATTTTTTTTTTTCGAAGGTAATTTTACAGACAGTTTTATCTTAATGCCGGAATCACTGCAGCAGTACGGCAACTTCAAAATACCTTCCTCGTAGAAGCCCCCCTCCTTATTTGCGAAGAATTCGGACAGCCACTTTTCACAAGCCTCTTTTGAGTTCAACTTCACACCACCAATGGCATTCGCCATGGACAGGAACAGGTGGTAATCACGTGGCGCTACGTCCGGGCTATATGGTGGTTGCGATAAAACCTCCCATCTGAGCTCCCGTAGCTTCTGACGAGTGATCAACGAAGTGTGTGGTTTGGCGTTGACCTAGTGGAACACTACACCCTTCCTGTTAGCCTATTCTGGGCGCTTCTTGTCGATCGCCTGCTTCAAGCGGTCCAGTTGTTCGCAGTAGATGGTAGAATTAAGCGTCTGGCCATATGGGAGCAGCTCATAGTGGATGATTCCCTTCCAATCCCACCAAACACACAGCAAAACCTTCCTGGCCGTCAATCCTGGCTTGGCCACTGTTTGGGACGATTCACCGGCCTTCGACCACGACCGTTTTCGCTTGATATTGTCGTATGTGATCCATTTTTCATCGCCAGTCACCATCCGCTTCAAGGATGGGTCGAGTTCGTTCCGTTTCAGCAGCATATCGCAGGCGTTGATTCGGTCCAGAAGGTTTTTTTGCGTCAAATTATGCGGCACCCAAACATCAAACTTTTTTTTGTATCCAGCCTTCTGCAGATGGTTCAAAATGGTTTGGTGACTAACTCCCATCTCCTGGGCGATGTCACGAGATGCTATAAGCCGGTCTAACTCGATGTATTCCATGATTTGATCGGTATTTGTCGTCACAGGTCTTCCGCCGGCTGGCTTATCCATGGTGTCGTTTTCACCGGCTCTGAATGGTCGAAACCATTCCTCCGCGGTTCGAAGTTAAAGAGTACCATCCCCTAAAACACCATTAATCTCACGGAACGTTTCTCTAGCGCGAATTTCGGCGTTAGTGAACTCCATGTTTACACGTCTATAATTGTTGAACGCAACATCCAAACTAATCATGCATAGCGTTGTTTTGTACGTTGTGTCAAGACCTTTCAAATTATGTATAGTGTTGCCAGATAAGAGCTCTGTAGCGCTTTGTACATAGCCGCGAAATTCAAAAGACAAAAAAGCGGAAGGGAGATATTTGACAATCTAATATTTTCTATAGTGGTAAGTTTCTTAAAAGAAAATCACTCATTTCGCCTGGCTTGCAACGACCCACAACACCTTCATATATGTATGTTGCACAACATTTTGAGCTTATTAAATACACTCAATTCTTTAAGGATAACCAACTCAATATTGCACGTGGCAACATATTCAAAGCACTCATGTTGGGGAATAGTTGTACGCACGCAACCGGCGCCACTCGGTTACCAACTCGTCGTGCAGCTATGGTGAATTCAACTCGTATTGCACTCAAATGCGTGTTGGGAGCTACTGGCTTTGCTTACCATAGTCATTTGAGCCGAAATTTTGGTTAGTTTCGTCGTGACCGCCGTGGATAGTAGTTTAGCTTTTGGTGAAAGGCTAAGTTATTGACCGTGTTTGTGTGTGTACTTGTTATATACATACATAAATATATAGTATTCATGCAGTGCATATTTGAATTGGTGGCGGTTGAGTATGTAAAACAAAAAATTATTTAATATTAAAAAAAAATAAAAAAAATTAAAGAAAGCGAATTGAGTGAAAGTGAAATTATTTATATTATGTGCAACTTAAGAATTTAGGCAGCCGAAAGCAAAATAAATTGCTGCAAGTGTGCTTCAAGCCAATATATTTTTATGATTTTTTTTAACAATAAAAAAAATAAGTGTAATAAATTTATAAAGTTATTTCTTGTGTGTGTTAATTTGTGTGTAACCCCGCTGAATTGTAAACAAATAAATAAAATAAAATCACCAACCGACCTCTATACGCCCACAAAACAATTTCTAAAGTGTCGCCAGTCTTCCTTTCTTCCTTTGTTCTCATTCACATACCGTTACATGTTCAAACTCGCACGCATATACTCATAAAAAATTTATGTCAGACATACCCACCTGCTTGCAGCTACCCATTGAGCGGCACTTAGCGTCTCAAGCCTTCACGTCTGGCCACGGTGTGCGCTGGGTCAGGCCACACGTTGCGTCTAGTCAGCGCGTGTCCTTGCGTCGCGTCACATTGCCGTTGAATGCTAAGTGTACACATGTATTTATTTCTTGTTTGTGTTTGAAAACCAACTAAGTGATCGAAATTTCTGGTTCTGAATTCAGCAAAACCCCCATTTCCGTCTGGTACACATAAAAGCACAGAAAGTCGAGGACAGGTCATGAGTGTGTGTCGTAACCACTATTTTGTTCTTTTCTGGTTTTGTTTTGCTTGCATTTTCTAGAGTTGTTGTTAGTTTTTTTTAAAAAGATTTGTATAGTTGTTGCAGAATTTGAAAACACATGCAGTCAGTGAGTGTGGCTCTACTGCAAGCTAACGGTATACAGTAGCGTTGAAGACAATCTCTGCAAAGCTGAATAAAAACCGGTAACAACAATACGAATTTCACAAATCTTAAGTGTGTGTGAACGGGAAGTAAATGCCGGAAACGGAAGTGTAGTGAGAGTGTATTTTATTTAATAAAATAAATGTACAAGAAGGTATCAGTGCAAATAATAGAAAAAACCAAGTGAAATACATAAGCAATAATTTTATTTTTAACTAATTTTCATAATTATCATCTTTAGCTAGATTATTACCAAGAATTTGCAGAAAATTTTACAAATATTAAAAAAATAAATCAAAAATAAACAGTTTTCCGAGACAACGAATAACGCATAAGTGTGTGCATGAAAGGGAATAAAAAAGAAATTATTAAGAAATAAATAATTGCAGAAAAATATAAAAAAATCGATCCCGAAATCTCTGCAAAAAATTCATCAAAATTTTGTGAAATAAAAGTGGTTTTTGCAGAAAATGGTCTAATCAACGGATTGTGAGTTTCGAAAATTCACGCAAAGCTTGGATACGAGTATAATAAATTTTAAAAAATAGTGTAAGTTACATAAACGCAAATTGAACTTTATTCATACTTTATTAAATAATTTGTAAAGGAATTATAATTTTTAAGCGACATAAAATTTAATCAGTTTATCATGTATCAGACAACAAAAAGGGCAGTTCCTCAGTGTTAGTTAGAGTCACGAAAATTTATTTGCAAAAAATAACAAAATAATATAAAATTTCGCAAAATTTTCATATAAAAGTGTTGAAATAAAATACATATATTTTTTAAATCAAGAACCGAGGACTACTAAGAGATAAATGAAGAGTAAATAAAAATGTCTAGAGGCACAGTGTCTATAACAAATATTGTATGTATGTCTCAATAAGCCAATAATGTAAATAATTTTGTTCAGAAGAAAAAATCAACTAAAATAAATTTTGGAAAATGAGAAATAATTATTACTAATCTATTGGTTATATGAAAAAACCGCTGCTGACTTTGGCCTAAATTCATGATTTTCCAAGTTGCATTTTTAATAAACTTTACAAAAATTAGGATAAATTTTAACTAAGTTCAATTTACAAAACTATGAACAAATACTCATTTTAGTGAAAATAATCCATTATCTTTGCATTAAATTGAAGTATATATTGGGCCAAGTAAAAAGTTCGTTCAGTTTTTTTTTTTTACTAAATTTTTCAATATTTGATAACTTTGTGTACATTTGTCCGATTTAAGTCAAATATGCGCCGTTTTATAATTTGTTTTCGCGGCCATGCTATATATTAATTTTATTAAGTAAACTACGAGGCCTTGTTGTTTATATGAATTCAATATTTGTTATACAACAAAGAAAAATGGTAGAAGTGGCAGCTGTTTCAGAGATCACCACATCTCCTCATCGTAAACTTGTTGCAAACGAGAAAGCTGCGTCCCTATTGGCAAAAAACTCGGAGAGCCAATTTTGCAAACTCTTGAGGCAAACTTCTCACCATTAAGCGGGTTCGCCATGAACAGGAAAAGATGGTAATCATTTAGTGCCAGGTCCAGACTATAAGCTGGGTGCCTTAAGACCTCCCATCCGAGCTTCTGGAGCTTCTAGCGTGTCACCAAAGACGTGTGTGGCCCGGCGTTGTCCTGATGGAACGCAATTCGGCTTCTGTTGATATAAGATGGCGCCTCTTATGGATGAGTGCTGCCTTCAAGCGGTTCATTTGTTGGCGGTAGAGAGCCGAATTAAGCGATTGACCATAGGGGAGCAGTTCGTAGTAGATGATTCCTTGCCAATCGCACCAAACACACAACAAAACCTTCCTGGCCGTCAATACGGTCTTGGCCACAGTCTGGGCCGAGCTTTGACCACGACCGTTTGCGCTCGATATTGTCGTAAGTGACCCATTTTTCAGCATCATTCAAAATCCGCATCCTGTTACTGATTCGATTTTGTTGCGATTCAGCGGCGATTCGCAGATGGAAATTCGGTCCATCATGTTTTTTGCGTTAGTTTGTGTGGCATCCAAACATCCAGCTTCATTGCGTTTTAAGCTTTTTATGAGTGATTCCATAAACTAAATTAATTTTTTCAGCCGCTTTGGCTGCTTTTTCGCCTTGACCAAAGAAAAATTGTAAAATTTAGCAAATTTTCACTTTGCTGGTGTCCATCTTTACTAACCCAATATTTACCATGGTTACAGTTATTCGATTCAAGTCAAATATACGTATCTCTTAGAATCCCCTCTCCTACATGCTTCTCGTGAGAATAATTCTTCACCAGCTAAATCATTCGATGTAGACAATAACAGACATGAGGTCTGGACGATATGGTGGATGCATAAGAACTTTCCAACCGAGCACTCGGGACATCTAGCAAGTTATCATCTGGCGTTATCTTGATGAAATACAATTCTCCTTCTGTTGGTCAAAGCTGGGCGTCAATGGGTGATTGCGATCGCAGGCAGTAAAGGTCTGAGTTAACAGTTAGGCCGTAGCGGGGCAGCTCCCACCAAACACTCGGCAAAACCTTCCTGCCCGTCAATCCTGACTAGGAGGCCGTATGTGCCTGTTTACTAGACTACAAACGTCTGAATTTGGCGTTGATGTACGTGATCCATTTTTTATCGCACGTCACAATTCGCTTCAGAGACGGGTCGATTTTGTTGCGATTCAGCAGCGATTCCAGATGGAAATTCGGTCCATGATATTACCTCTTGTTAACTAATGTGACACCCATCATCGAGCTTCATTGCGTATTTAACTTTTTCCAACGAGTGCTTCCATGTCATTCAAACTCGAATATTTCCCTTTTTTTCGACCTTTTCGACAATTCCACACCCTGCAACATTTTTTTCATAAGCATTACCGAAACAAAATCGACGAAACCAATATTGTGCATGACTGTCCATTGTAGTATCAGGACCATAAAAACTATTCACTTATTCAACTGTATGACTTATGTTTTCGCGTTTGTCGAAGAAGAACTTTGACATGCGCTCGATGTGATTGGATTCATAAACTTTACACTATACGGTTAACTCTTTCAGGAATGAAATGAAGAGCGTCGTTATAAGTATTCCTATCCCTTCTCAATATCATCTCAGAATGTTTTCTTCTAGCGCTTAACAATTCTATCTATTGTTTCAGGCAATCTGGTTTTACGTAGCTGAAACTTTACACCATTCTCCTCACTCCAATTCTATTCTAAAAGATTGAATATTACTGTGTGTTAAGGAGTTCGTGGATAAAATTTTACTTGTTTGTGGTTTGAACAATCGTTTGTACAAATATCTGTTAAGGAATATTTTCCCGAAAATGATTACAATGAAAATACCTCACAACCTCACGTTTTTCAAAAAAATAAAATAAAAAGTCATTTTGTCTCTCAATCAACCAGGAGATCCAGATAATATGATATTTGAAGTGCAACGAGGTCTTTCCAACGGAGTGGAGGTCTTCCTCTTCCTCTGCTTCCACCAGCGGGTACTGTAATGAAAACTTTCAAAGCTACAGTATTCGTCTCCATCCAGACCACATGATCTAGACAGCTAAGCCGCTCTTTCTTGATTCGCTAAACTATAAAATTGTCGCCGTATAACTCGTACAGCTCATCGTTCCATCGTCTGCGATATTTGCCGGGGCCAATGCTTAAAGGACTACTCACATTACACAAAACCTTTTTCTCGAAAACTCCTTACTTCGAGTCATTAGATGTTGTCATCGTCCATTCTTCCGCTCCATATAGCAGGACGGAAACGATGATGGGGCTTGTAGAAGCATTCTTGCAATAAATTTAAAAAAAATAGAATATTTTCCTAATTTCCTTCACTGTATGGACAACGTAAATTTGTTTCCCACATATTTACCGGTTGTAAAAGAACAAATTCAATGCGCCGGCCAATTCAATCAACGGTGAACTTCCGCTAACCGGTTGCAAGGCCGTTAAATACCTTCGTCGGTTATGGTGCAATGCGGTCAAATGCAACAAAGTCAATACTAAGCGTCAAGCGTACAGCGAACAACACGAAAATTTAATTGAAAAAGTTTACCTTTTGTAATTTATATATGTATGTATATTGCAATGCTGACTTTTTGTGCTGCCGCATATATTTCTGACAAAAATACTAGCTTCTTGCACGTTTAGCAATACCATTGTTAGAGGCTGGTGAATGAATATGAACTGTTTTACTTACTACTAGATTTCAACTAGTTGCTCTAAGCTTTAGACCGGTTCTTCAATGAAAGCTATAGTGATTATATATATGTATATTTTTTTTTTAATGGTGAATAATTGTGTTGTGGTTCTATTTCAAAAACACTTAAATTTCAATAACTTTGCGATGAACAAGCTCGCCGGCAAAAAAGAAAGCACGACCACGAACTCGATTTAAAGTGAAATATTTCGGCTTTTTTCATTTTTTCCCTACTTTTCTTTTAAGTTCTCGCGCGGATTTGTATTTTCGCGGTTTTTTTTGTTTTTATTCGGCAATTTTGAAACTTTTCGCAATTGCCAAACGAATTAAGAATGGTTAAAATTGTTTTGTTGTGCGGCTCGAAATTGGTGGCTGCTGAAGGGTAAACGTAAATTTGTGTACCTTAATTGCATACTGAGATTCTTTTGAGAGTTTCTGATTAGCGTTGGTCTATTTGTAGTGTGAAATGAGTTTGTTTTCTAGGAAAATTGCTCAGAGCATCAGAGGTTGTTTTGGATTTCTTGATATGTAGTTTTACATAGGCACGTTTTAAATTTAGGTGTGCATATTGATGTTATCAAACGAAAAGAAGAAGAAGTCGGTGTTAAAGAAACTTGAAAATTTATTTTATTTGTTGTGCCAAGATTATTTGGATGAATAGAAAAGCTCCTGCTGAATATTTGTAGTGTCATTATAACTAAAGTGCGGCCACGATTGCCGACTGGTTAGAATTACGCACTGTAATTCGGACCAGGCTGCATTAAAAAATTATGGAATTTTTATTTAAATTAAATTAATTAAGGTAATGTCAACCACTTCGAGTGCATTTACGACATGAAATAAAGTCTCCTCGTTAAAAAACCATTGGTCGTTCGGAGGAGTGCGGCTTAGTATAAGTTTTAGAAGAATCCAATTAATACCATAAATTAAAGGAGAAGCTCGGCCTAAAATTATTAAAATTATTGCTTCATTTCGTATAATAATCTTTTTTTTTTTGATTTTTCATATTAAGTGCGCTAATTTAACCGCTATTTTCTTAACAGCTTGGTTAGTGTGTTGTGTTGGTTAATAATGAATTGAATAATACAACAACAGATTATATGGCTGATATTGGCGCAGTGGTAGAACACTCGCCTGTTAAGTCAGGATCCGTTGGTTCGATCCCTACCATAAGAAGTCTGATGAAGAGATGTGGTGATCTCCAAAACAGCTGTCACTTCTACCATTTTTTCTTTGTTGTATAACATATATTCAATTCATACAAACAACAAGGCCTCGTAGTTTACTTAATAAAAAATTAATATTTTTTTGTTTTAATTAATTTCATTTTTTTATTCCATTCTATTTTGTCTTATCTTATTT